GTTGGGTAAAAAAGACAGCCCCCACCCTTCAAAAACTAGGCCAATTAATAATCAAGTTCAGGTCTGAGAGTGCCACTTTTGGCCATCTAGACGTGCCATGTCATAAATTTTCTAACCTCCAACCTCCAGCCTCTCCATGTTAAATTAGGTCCCTAACCCCCTGTGCCCACCATTTTGAATTCTTGGATCTGACAGAAACATTTTACATTGTTAAATTATGAAACTTTGAAAATCGTTTTTGAAGTTTGAGAGTGCTATTTCTAGAAGTGCTAAATCCTAAAAATCTTAAATTCAGCCCCAACCAAGGAGGGGCTAAGGTTGGTGTGGACTCTCCTGAGTAACAAATATACCAAAATGCTTCTGCTGCCCCTGCTCACAATATTAAATATTATCACTATAAATGTTTCTTTTCTTTGTCATCAACTTCAAGACTGTAAAAGAAACTATGTATTGTGACTTCTATTACTTCAGTGTCAACAACTATACTAGACTGAATCATAACAGTACCATAATATGCTATTATTTCCTCTGGGGTATATTTTTCCAGCTTTCCATGTTAGGATTTATGCTAGTGCACAGTTATGTGTTGTTTTAATGAAGAATGGCCAGTCAAATTGTTTCAAAGATGCTTCCAGGTGTCTCAGCTTGTTTAATCAATTTAATGCCTTCCAAATAAATTTGATGACAACAACAAACACATACCTAAATCAGGGAGGTATAAAAATTGTTCCCCCTGCCTAAATCTTAATATATCTTAAAGGACAAAAACAAAAATATACAAATATGTAAAATAAATAAATAAAATATAAATACAAAAATATTAATTTCACCATATCATAATTAAAACTGTGTAAGTAATGCACATCATACATTTTTGGGTAAGCCTAAAGTGTGGTCAGTGCATCTCACTGAAGAACACATAGTAAAGAAAACAATAGGACACAAACCTGTCCAGTCTCACATAAGGGAAGTTATCTTTCAGGTAATTTATATGTAAGCAGAAAATATGGTAAGTTTTTGAGTTGTTTTTGTAATCTATATTTGAAAGAGAATCTTTGAGGTAAGACCAGTTTTAATTTTTGGGTGTAATAATCTATATTGATTTGTAGGCCTATTGTTATATGGTATGGCCATACTTGGTAGAATGATATCTCCACCCCATGATTCGTAGTTACTGTATAGGAGGACATTACCTGGCACCTTTTTCCTTGGTTTAATTTTAAGGAAGAATGAAGTCAAATCGATAAATAATAAACAAATATTGATAAACTGATTGGGCTTTAGTGTATGTCATTTACAGCCCTAAACCACATGATTTGTAATGAGTTTTTAATAAATATATAAATAATATTAAGCTTGCGATTCACTGGCTCTCACTTGGACCTTTAGCTTGAGAGCCTGATCGTACAAGTCGTTGCCTTTTATCTGTAGACTGGCTTGATTGATGAGCACTGCTCTTGTATGCATTATTGATGCCCGCAGCAATACTTTCGGGCGTTCCATTTTCTAGTTTCATTAGCCCTATTAAGCATGTACACATATTTTGGAAAGTGGAACAAATTGCTTCCAGCTTGATTGTCCACACATTTTCAATAGTTATTTCATTTTCTTATCCCTTCCTGCTTTTCCTTTTTCTTTGTTAATCTCTATAAAAATATTATATTGGATGTTAAATTTACAATATACTTGATAATATCAGTGTTTGTTTTAGTAACTGTTAATTGGCCTACTTTCATATTTGATTATGTTTTATTAAAATTAAATCAGAGCTTTTAAGGGAATTGTATGTGATATTTCTGTGAGTTGTAACATAAATTGGGGAAATGTAGGCCTAATTGGTTTATAACAGAGGAGGGTTTCATGTGATATTTCAGGTGTTGCACTCCTAGGAGTTGTAACATAGATTGTGGGAATATAATGGGTTTATAACAAAGGAGAAATCATTGTAGGCCCTGCCCACCCGTAACTAGTGGGTTTCTACAGTTTGGCCAAACCACTCCCGACTTTTTAAAGCAAATCCCCCTCTGATCATCTATCCCTCAACTTCTTGCATCAAATTCCATAAAAATTAATTAATCATTTATAGCACTACATGATCACCACCACAGCTCTTAATATGGATCCGACCGGAAGTCCCCCGGACTCCCATAGGAAATCCCCCTCCCCTTAAGGAATCATAGTTACAAACCTGCTGTCTCTTTATGCTGCTTGTGGAGTTGTTTTGTAAAGAATAGATTTTTCCTTGTGATTACATATTCCCCCAAATAAATCACTTGTTTCACTCATAAATGACTACTTCTTGTGCTATTAAAGATGCACAACTAGAATTACTTTGTTGGACTGAAGCTATTATCCTACTAATAGTATTGCAAACAATTTGCTAGAGAGAAAAATTGAATAATTTCAGATGATTTATGTTAGAAGTGTACAGTTATCCTGAGATGTAGTGACTATAAATGCAAAATAAATTCTCAACTACTAAAAACAAGCAAAGATTTTGCAAGACTTACATAAAGTATTTTATGTTTATATTGATAAGCTTATTTTCTTAATGTTTTTGTCTATTTGTACTCAATGAGTCCATTTAATTTTTTTAGTGTGTTTGCTTTATACAGTACAGTATTAGATTTACAGAACAGTAATATCTAATAAGCAACTAGTACAGGTCCGCATAGTACACTATAGAAAAATTATTATACGAAGGTTAGATTTAATGTGCTTGAAAAAATTTGCTGAGGGCCTGCAAGGCCTGAAGGAAATTTTTGAATGCATTAAATCTAACCTAAGTATAATAATTTTCTATTTAGTGTACGATGCATGCTCTACTAATTGCTTTATAAGTCAATCGCCGTCTTTTAATTTTAGTTTTGATAACCAACTGTTGTAACAGTCATCGGTTGCTATAGTGATATAAGTATACAATGTGCGTATTTACATTTAGCTGTGCGTACGCTGATTTGTGCTCCACAGTAGTACGCGTTAACTAAACATCAGCAGTACAGTACGGATACGATGAGTAACTAGTCTATTTTGTAATTTGTATTGTGTTAGAAGAACTCTTTTGTAATGATTCACATTCGTCAAAGACATAAACATTTTTTTAAAGCATTCAAGAGAGAATATAGTCACTGTCACTAACTTTTTGGTCGGTGCAGACAGGTAAAAATCGTGAAACGAATTTATTACTACACTATGCTACGGCCTAGGTAGTAGTAGGAGGAGGCCCTGGCGGCCTCCTGCTTGGCCGTAGGCCTAAAACTAATATCCTTCCTTGAATCTTTAAAATAGCTGGTCTAGAATATTCTTATTACACGTTCAGTTTGTTTAGTTTATTAGAGTTCATTGATTCAAGGAATTGCTTAATTGTTCATACTTAATATTGAATTTAAAGTAACTTTCTTTGGGTTCTAATTAACCTTGTTTTAGGAAAGTAATTTTCAATTATATTACAATTCAATTTTCATCGCGGTGAGCAGAATCATCAGGTGACAAAAAAAATGAGGAATTCTTTTTTTGCACACGAAGTTAAAAAAAATAAAGCCAAGCGTCCACTAATTGAAAAATTAGTGGACTGTGGGGGATGGGCAAATAACATTGGGATTTGCAGTTATGATTGAATTATAATAATAATTATAATAATAACATTTTGTATACCTTTAGTGAACCCGCCAACTGCAAATATTGATGATTTCGAATAAAAATAAAATCTTATTTTTACCCAATTATCATACCCGCTGCCACGAAAAAGTGGAAATTTTAAAAAAAATAAAAGTTTTTCTTTATTTTATTACGCCCTCCGCTGCCTTGAAATCTTAAAGATAAAATATGTATATTTCTTCCTAATTATATAAATTACATTATAAATTACATTCACCAATAAAATTTTATTTTTATATTCTCCTCCATCTGGATGATTTTGGCAAAACTATTTGTTAAATAAGAAAACAAAATTTTATTTTTATTTTTATTCTGCCCTCCTTCGATAATCTTTAAAAAAATAAGTATGTGAAACAAGGAATAAAAAAAGTCTAACAATAATGTAATTATTTGATTGTAAAAATTTACATCATATATTAAATGGCAGTCCATCCAGCAACAACGACAACAATAACAACAATAATAATAATTATAACATACTCTCACTTTTAATCTAATTATTACTGATTTTAAATGTATTGTATTTTTATTGCATGCATATGCTTGGTCCACTAAACTGTGACCTGAGGTGTTTGTTTCAGTCTATATTGCACATTGAATAAACAATGATTTCAACAAATTTATAAATGTTTTTGAGATTTTACTATATACAACATTAATATTAGTATATATTAAATGCTTGTGGTACACCACATAAATAGTTCTGAAAAGAAGTGTTGTTTGTTGAGAATGTCTCAACATTTCGATTCAGTTGCTTCAATCATCTTCAGGACGTAGATAGTTCTGAGAAGAACTGTCGTTCTGAAAAGAAATATATGTTAAGGTGAATATCAATAAAGAATATATGTTTGTTGAGAGTGTTTCGACGTTTCAAATGAGTTACTTCAATCGTCTTCAGGTCCTGCAGACGACTGAAGCAACTCAATCGTAACATTGAGATATTCTCAACAAACAACAGTTCTTTTTCAGAAATCTACTTGGTGTACCGCAAGCATTAAATATATTATACTTTGCCATGAAACCTTTAAACAATATTATTATTTTGCTGATTACAGCAGCAATACTTAAGCATGTACACCCAATGACTGGGGTCAGAAGCGCTTCGTATCTGCAAAAAGAAAGGCGCTATTTAAATAATTGAATATTATTATCATTATATTATTATAATTGTATAAATTGTTATTTGTGTTACACTACTGGCCATTACTTAGTCAGATTACTCTCAAGGTAAAGGGTTCAAATCTTACTCATTTCACTTCCTGTTGGTGAAAAACTTCCATGATCTATTTTTATACTATTATGACTTTAAAAGAGAATAAATAATGCATTTTACTGTTTTCAGTCAATTATTTCTTGACATTTCCTTACACAGTTGTAGATTTATTTTTGTAATTAATTTCAGTTACTATCAATTTCAAAAATTAATATGATATACCAGATTAATTTGCATAGGATCAGAAGAAACAGACAGCCTTTAAGTTAATTAATCAGAACACAGATTAGTAATCTAAAGGTAGAATAGATAACAAAACCTAGCTGATAAAATATACCAGTAGCATCAGATTCGTAATTAACCGGAACAATTCTATTCAATAAGTGCTGGGAGCTGTAGCAGCCAAACACGCTAGCAACTTGCACCGTGTCTACATTGAAATGCGGAGGAGAAATTACTTAAGCCTCACTAAGTAGATGTCTTAAAGTGTTTCATGGAAGCAACCACTTTAACGAGCATCCTAGATGCATTATACGCAATGCCTAGAAGGAGCTCCCATGCTATATGTATGCGTTCCAGCTACAAATTGCAAACGTATCACGTTTGTTTTCGTCTAGAACTGCTCAGTATCTGTTTTTTTCTCTTCTGATTATTAAAAACATAGGAGACCATTATAAAGGGTCATAAGGTTGGGATTAAGAAGCACACAATTGGTTCAGTCTCGCGAATAGTTTTACATTTGACCTTATGACCTTTCCAAATGATATTTCTGACTATACGAAAACAAAGCAGTCACCTTAGGAAAATTTCCAATTTCAAATTGGAACATAGCATTAAGAAAAGATTTATTTAATTGTAGAAGAGCGATATACCACATTTACCACTCTCATTCACAATTACCGTCTCTTTTCCTTCACCTTTTCCTTTCTTTATTGCCATTTTTACTAAATTTATTTTTTTTCTGAGATATCCCTTACAAATTATAGGTTGACTAGATAAACAATGTCTCTGCTCATGAAATACACAAGAAGGCTGCCGGAATTTGTTAATAAAAATAATTGGCAATCGAAACAGGAAGGATGAGTCCTGTGCTCCTTCTTAAGTTACCACTAATATTATATGTTTTATAGCGATATTGG